CAGGGCTTGCGATTTGACTCTGTGGAGCACAAATCGACCCCGACAACTTAGGGACCAGGGCTTGCGATTTGACTTTTTGGAGCAAAAATCGACCCAAAAATCTAAGGGACCAGGGCTTGCGATTTTACTCTTTGGCGCAAAAACTGGGCCCCAAATCTTAGGGACCAGGGCTTGCGATGTCACTTTTTGGAGCAAAATTGAACCCAAAGTCTTAGGGACCAGGGCTTGCGATTTGACTCTTTGGAGCAAAAACTGGGCCCAAAATCTTAGGGAGCAGGGTTTGCGATTTGACTCTTTGGAGCAAAAACTGGGCCCCAAATCTTAGGGACCAGGGCTTGCGATGTCACTCTATGGAGCAAAAAACGAACCCAAAATCTTAAGGACCAGGGCTTGCGATGTCACTCTTTGGAGCAAAAATTGAACCCAAAATCTTAGGGACCAGGACTTGCGATGTCACTCTTTGGAGCAAAAACTGGGCCCCAAATCTTAGGGACCAGGGCTTGCGATTTGACTCTTTGGAGCAAAAACTGGGCCCAAAATCTTAGGGACCAGGGCTTGCGATGTTACTCTTTGGAGCAAAACTGGGTCCAAATCTTAGGGACCAGGGCTTGCGATGTCACTCTTTGGAGCAAAAATTGAACCCAAAATCTTAGGGACCAGGACTTGCGATGTCACTCTTTGGAGCAAAAACTGGGCCCCCAATCTTAGGGACCAGAGCTTGCGATGTCACTCTTTGGAGCAAAAATTGTACCCAAAATCTTAGGGACCAGGGCTTGCGATTTGACTCTTCGGAGCAAAAACTGGGCCCCAAATCTTAGGGACCAGGGCTTGCGATGTTACTCTTTGGAGCAAAGATTGAACCCAAAATCTTAGGGACCAGGGCTTGCGATTTGACCCTTTGGAGCAAAAAGTGGGCCCAAAATCTTAGGGACCATGGCTTGCGATTTGACTCTTTGGAGCAACTGGGCCCAAGATCTTAGGGACCAGGGCTTGCGATGTCACTCTTTTGGGCAAGAAATGAGCCCAAAATCTTAGGGAGCAGGGCTTGCGATTTGACCCTTTGGAGCAAAAACTGTGCCCCAAATCTTAGGGACCAGGGCTTGCGGTTTGACTCTGTGAGCAAAAATTGAACCCGAAATCTTCGGGACCAGGGCGATTTGACTCTTCGGAGCAAGAAATGAGCCCAAAATCTTAAGGACCAGGGCTTGCTTTGGAGCAAAAAACTGAGTCCAAAATCTTAGGGACCAGGGCTTGCGATTTGACTCTTTGGAGCAAAAACTGGGCCCCAAATAATAGGGACCAGGGCTTGCGATGTTACTCTTTGGGGCAAGAAATGAGCCCAAAATCTTAGGGACCAGGGCTTGCGATGTTACTCTTTGGGGCAAGAAATGAGCTCAAAATCTTAAGGACCAGGGCTTGCGATGTCACTTTTTGGAGCAAAAACTGTGCCCTAGTATTGGGGGGAGGAGGGCTCGTGATTTAGTATTGGGAGGAGGCCCGGGCTCGTAAATTAGTATTGGGGGGAGGCCCGGCTCGTGATTTAGTATTGCGGGAGGCCCGGGCTCGTGATTCAGGGGGGAGGCCCGGGCTCGTGATTTAGTATTGGGGGGAGGCCCGGCCTCGTAATTTGGAGGCCCGGGCTCGTGATTTAGCCCGGGCTCGTGATTTAGTATTGGGGGGAGGCCCGGGCTCGTGATTTAGTATTGCGGGAAGGCCCGGGCTCGTAATTCAGCATTGGGGGGAGGCCCGGGCTCGTGATTTCGTATTGGGGGGAGGCCCGGGCTCGTGGTTTAGTATTGGGGGGAGGAGGATGCCCCAGCCCCCACCCCCCATTTGGAAATAATTCAATTAATTGAATTAATTGAATTAATTGAATTAATTGAATTAATTGAATTAATTGAATTAATTGAATTAATTCAATTAATTAATTTATTTCCAAAGGGGAGGTGGAATTAATTGAATTAATTGAATTAATTTAATTATTTCAATTAATTCAATTAATTCAATTAATTCATTTATTTCCAAATGGGGGGGATTCCCCAGCCCCCACCCCCCCCCTCTTTGGAAATAAATGAATTAATTGAATTAATTGAATTAATTGAATTAATTGAATTAATTGAATTAATTGAATTATTTCAATTAATTCAATTAATTCAATTAATTCAATTAATTCATTTATTTCCAAATGGGGGGGATTCCCCAGCCCCCACCCCCCCCCCCTTTGGAAATAAATGAATTAATTGAATTAATTGAATTAATTGAATTAATTGAATTAATTGAATTAATTGAATTAATTGAATTAATTGAATTAATTGAATTAATTGAATTTCAATTAATTCAATTAATTCATTTATTTCCAAAGGGGAGGTGGAATTAATTGAATTAGTTGAATTAATTCAATTATTTCAATTAATTCAATTAATTCAATTAATTCAATTAATTCATTTATTTCCAAAGGGGGGGGGTGGGGGCTGGGGAATCCCCCCCATTTGGAAATGAATGAACTAATTGAACGACATTATTTAAACTATCGCGGCTCGATTTGGCCAAATTTTGCCGGGCAGCCTGCGGGCAAAATTTGGCCAAATCGGGCTGCTCTTCGTATGCCATGAGAAATGCGCGGCTCGATTTGGCCAAATTTTGCCCGGAGGCTGCCCGGCAAAATTTGGCCAAATCGAGCCGCGCATTTCTCAGCGCGTACGACGAGCAGCCCGATTTGGCCAAATTTTTTGCCCGCAGACTTCCCGGCAAAATTTGGCCAAATCGAGCCGCGATAGTTTAAATAATTTCGGGCCTCCAGAAAGGCGCGGCTCGATTTGGCCAGATTTTGCCGGGCAGTCTGCGGGCAAAATTTGGCCAAATCGGGCTGCTCGTCGAACGCGATGAAAAATGCGCGGCTCGATTTGGCCAAATTTTGCCGGGCAGCCTCCGGGCAAAATTTGGCCAAATCGAGCCGCGCCTTTCTGAAGGCCCGAAATTTTTAAACTATCGCGGCTCGATTTGGCCAAATTTTGCCGGGCAGCTTCCGGGCAAAATTTTGCCAAATCGGGCTGCCCTTCGTATGCGATGAGAAATGCGTGGCTCGATTTGGCCAAATTTTGCCCGGAGGCTGCCCGGCAAAATTTGGCCAAATCGAGCCGCGATAGTTTAAATAATTTCGGGCCTCCAGAAAGGCGCGGCTCGATTTGGCCAAATTTTGCCGGGCAGCCTCCGGGCAAAATTTGGCCAAATCGAGCTGGGGGGGTGGGGTCTGGGGAATCCCCCCCATTTGGAAAAAAATGAATTAATTGAATTAATTGAATTAATTGAATTAATTGAATTAATTCAATTAATTACATTAATTCAATTAATTCCACCCCCCCTTTGGAAATAAATGAATTAATTAATTGAATTAATTGAATTAATTGAATTAATTGAATTAATTGAATTAATTGAATTAATTGAATTAATTCAATTAATTCAATTAATTCATTTATTTCCAAAGGGGGGGGAGGGGTGGGGGCTGGGGAATCCCCCCCATTTGGAAATAAATGAATTAATTGAATTAATTGAATTAATCGAAATAATTCAACTAATTCAATTAATTCAATTAATTCATTTATTTCCAAAGGGGAGGTGGAATTAATTGAATTAATTGAATTAATTCCAATTAATTCAATTAATTCAATTAATTCAATTAATTCAATTAATTCAATGAATTCAATTAATTCAATTAATTCAATTAATTCAATTAATTCAATTAATTCAATTAATTCATTTATTTCCAAAGGGGGGGGTTCAATTAATTCAATTAATTCAATTAATTCAATTAATTCAATTAATTCAATTAATTCAATTAATTCAACTAATTCAATTAATTCCACCCCCCCCTTTGGAAATAAATGAATTAATTGAATTAATTGATTAAATTCATTAAATTCCAGGGGGAAAGTGGAAATTAAGGAATTTAATGAACTAATTCTGTCTGTGCAACCCTACAGGACCTAAAATAGGGTCTATTTGGAACATGGCTCTTGTGAATAAGTATACGTTTTGGGGCCTGTTTTCCTCTTGTAAATACGATTCCCAGCTTCCAAATAGACCCTATTTAAGCTGCACACGGGGGGGGGGGTCGTCAGGACTACCTCCCGTGTAAGGGGCTTCCCGGGCGCTCGACCCCAAAGGCGGGGTCGGCGGATATCTATGTATAATTTCAAGCCCGTGAATTCACTGTGTTCTTTCACTCTTTCCCCTCTGAAATAGTACGATAATAAGGCAAGTTTACGCGCGCTTAGTATAGTAACATTTAATGGGGCCCTTTTCCCCCTTGAATACTGTAGGTGAAAAGCCCCATTATTTCATGAGCCTTTTAGAGGGGCTTCTAACACAGCATCGTAGGACCCTTAATTGATATGTTACCTCGGGACCCTTAATGCTGGTAGGCTGAAAGCCCCGAAAAATATTGTAATTACGGGGGAAAAGAGAAAAGCCCCGATAACATGCACGAACACGCGGTCACTTTGTTCACTTGTTTCGTGTGTTCCTTTCGTTCTCACAGTTCATTATAACTTTTTAATATTCGTATTAGCGTGCCATATAATAATTACTATGATTATTCTTGTCTCATTTTGTCATTATTCTCATTTTTGTTGTAATTATTATTGTTATTATCATATTATTATCATATTATTATTATTGTTATTATTATTCTTCTTCTTCTTCTTCTTATTATTATGGTTACGATGGTGCGCGCGCGTGACAATAATAATGAAATGGCGAACGCAGAATACCTTATTGTTCGCCCAGATGTGCGTTCATATTGAAACTATTTTGCTGCTCGTTGCTTGCAAACTTGCTGCTTGGTGCTTGCTGCTTGTTGTTGCTGCTGCCGCTGTTGTTGCTGCGAAAACTGCCGCTGCCGCTGCCGTGCTTGGTCTTGCCGTGCTTGGTCTTGCCGTCTACTTCAGACTGGGGTTGTTTGGCACTCGGGGTGTGCTTTTTCTGGACACGCTGTGCCGAAGGAGCATGCTGGCAAGATCGTCACCTTGATGTCAGAGTACTGCCTCTGCCAGCGCATCAAGCCTGTGAGCGACCCGAAGACCCCTTTCTCCAGCGAGGCCGGGCGAGAGATCCGTAATCCCAGATGGCCTGTTGCCCCTCTCTGCCACACCGTTGATCATGAATCCACGCAATTGCAACGCTGCGACACTGCAACTTTGAACAACCTTAGACATTTGGTATCATGTAGGGTTCATGCGACCAGCTGCAAGACATTGCAGGCTGACTACATTGCGGCACTCCAGGCTCACCACCAGGTCCGGTTCTCTTTGGGCTTCGCATTACCTCGACATGCTTACAGGGGCAAATCCTGCAATAAGTTCTGTAAGTATTCGCCCGCAAAGTATACGCGAAAAGTCCAACCACTAGCACAAATATGTAGAGCCATGTGGCAGCATGCGGCATCATGTGGCAATCGCTGGGCAAGAAGGTGATGCTCGCGGCTGTGAAGTGCAAGCAGAACGTGGATCCGGCACTTGCTGACACTCTGGCCGGGGCAGTGGCTGAGATGAGCAAGATGTACCTCAAGTGAGGGCTTGCCCATGGCTTGCCCGAGGGCAAAGCGATGCTGAGAGCCGAGGTCCGCATGCAAATCGTTTCTAGATTTTTCCAGCATGTTCCAGCTCGGGAAACATGAGGACAAGACTGGTTGCGGATCTTACGGACTTCTGCCAGCAAAGAAACACAGGTTCTTCTTCGAAACAGCGGAGTTTGAAATCCTGTGCTTTTGCCGTGACAGCTTCGCAGCTTAGAATTCCGTGTTGATTGATGGCTCTATGCACAGAACCTGTAGCTTTACCTCCTGGCTTTGCAGCTGCAGGTACTGGGGGCTGTCCGAAGTGGAGTTTGTGCTGAAGACGATGGGCAACTCAAAGCCCTGTGACGCGATGAAGCCAAGCCCCCAGAGCAGGGTTGTCAGAGGCTGTCAGAAGTTGTCCGCGTGAGTTCTGTCAGTGTGAACTCATCTCAGCCTGCAGCTTCTGTGGCTGATACTCGTATCATGGATATTCGATTGGTAGACAATGTTGGAGGAAGTTGTCAGAGGCCTCGCGGCTTTGAAAGGGCACGGTTCGTGTTGAAGCTTATAGGTCACGAGATCACATGGTGTTTCTTAGCCACGTTAAGCATTCTCTAACACTTTGCGCCATGCACGGAGGGTGGTCGACAGCTTGCGGAAGGACGAAGAAGCTCATTTCGTGCTCGTGCAGAAAGCCCCGACCGCAACTCAGGGTGGAGGGTTTCGGTCTTGAAGGCGTTGGCCAAAGGCACGGTCTTGGATGGGCTGAGCAGGGCCGAGCATGAAGAATGAGCACATGCGACTGCAGAGAGAGAAAGCAGCTTGTCATGCCCCAAGCTGGCCCCCAAAGTCCCAAAGCACACATCTCGCAACGAGTCTCCTCACTTTGCTTGCCATCCTTGCCCAAGCCAAGCATCCCTTAACAAGTTCAATTGCCCAGGAAGAACATCACCCTCCTGGACAAGGAATATTCCGACATCCTTCCGAAGCAAGGCTCATGTCCCAGGGCACTTTTTTCGTTGAGGGTGGTGCACATCGTGATGCTCAGCTCATCTCAGCTCATCTCAGCTCCCCCGCTTTTCATGAACAAGCCAGCCTTTTCTGCGAGGGCGAAGGGCTCAGCGGCTCCGACAGCAGCTGGAGGTGCGACCCTGGTCGCGGTTCGGGTTAATCCGCACATCTCCGTGCAACTCCGCGCATCCAATCCGTGCCTGCAAGGAAAAGGAGGCCACGACAAGTGCACTGCCAGGCTCGACCATGTGCCCAGGAGGATTGCTCAAGTAGCTTCGGTTGATCGGTCTGCAAGGAGGGGTGCAAAAACTTGAAGTGAATCCAGCTTGGAACTCAATTGCGTTTCAGCGGCCAAACCATGGAGACGGAAGCAGCTTGCAGCTTTCCGATGAGAAACGGAAACAAGGTTAGCAAACCCGAGCAAAAGCTAAACCCAACAAAACCCAAACAAACCCAAAAACAATGTAACAAACCTTCCCGCGAACCCCCCCCAACCACAGTAAGCCTTTGAGAAGAAGAATAGAGAGCGAGAGAGAGGACAACGTGATCGGCGGACCCCTTTCCTGGGGTTCCTCACCGCTGTGTTAAAAGGAGTGCAGGAAGGAAAGAAGGGAAGGAAGGGAAGGAAGGGAAGGAAGGGAAGGAAGGGAAGGAAGGGAAGGAAGGGAAGGAAGGGAAGGAAGGGAAGGAAGGGAAGGAAGGGAAGGAAGGGAAGGAAGGGAAGGAAGGGAAGGAAGGGAAGGAAGGGAAGGAAGGGAAGGAAGGGAAAGGAAGGGGGAAGGAAGGAAGGAAGGAAGGAAGGGAAGGAAGGGAAGGGAAAGGAAGGGAAGGGGGAAGGAAGGGGAAGGAAGGGAGGGAAGGAAGGGGGAAGGAAGGGAAGGGGGGAAGGGAGGGAGGAAGGGAAGGAAAGGGAAGGAAGGAAAGGGAAGAGGAAGGGAAGGAAGGCAGGGAAGGCAGGGAAGGCAGGGAAGGGAAGGAAGGGAGGGAAGGGAGGGAAGGAAGGGAACTTAAGGAAGGGAAGGAAGGGAAAGAAGGGGAGGAAGGGAAGGAAGGGAAGGGAGGGAAGGGAGGGAAGGGAGGGAAGGGAGGGAAGGGAGGGAAGGGAGGGAAGGGAGGGAAGGGAAGGAAGGGAAGGAAGGGAAGGAAGGGAAGGAAGGGAAGGAAGGGAAGGAAGGGAAGGAAGGGAAGGAAGGGAAGGAAGGGAAGGAAGGGAAGGAAGGGAAGGAAGGGAAGGAAGGGAAGGAAGGGAAGGAAGGGAAGGAAGGGAAGGAAGGAAGGGTGCATGGAGATGCCAGAGGTTCTTCTCCCCTCTGTAAACAACATGGAGTCTAAATGGCCAGCTTCTAGGCCCACGGCCAAAGTGCTGCTTTGAGCCCCAGCACCGGGCGCACGCCACGCGCAGAGCAGCATACTGACAAGAACGCAGAAGAACCACTCAACGAGAATCATTTGGACCAAGAGGGTTTCGGCTTTCGGCATTCGATGTGGCTGGCCTGGTGAAGTGCCAAACATTAGAGAAAAAGAATAAGAAGACGAAGGGACAACCTACTTGCACAGGTGCTGACGGCTCGCTGGCGGAACAGATGGTGATCTTCCCGGGCCTCTACCAGTGCGCCAGGGATGTGTCAACCGAGCGACTTAGAGTTGCGGATAGTTGCGGTGGGATTGCGAGGTGTTCTGAAGTGGGATAGAGACTATGGGTTCCCTGGTGGTTTGAGTCCTGTTGCTGTCTTGCTGTCCCGTGTTCCGTTGAATCCTTCACAGGGTCATGTCGAATCAGTTCCGCTCGTGGCAGGCCAACTTGGAAGTAACCGCCCCTCTGTTCAGGTTCATGACACAGCGAGATAAGGACATCAAGCAGCCCGGGTGCCCAGAAGCAGAAGAGCTGTCGAAGCAAGCACCAGTGCTTCTCCATTTCAGCTTTGGGGTCGAACCTTGCGCAGGCCAGGATCACGGAGTGGATCGCTTTAAAGGATCTTTAGGGCTTGCGGGGCCGACCAATGCACTGAAGGCCTTTTCGGGCTGAGGCTCCTTCAGTTTCTCAAGTACAACCCGGAAGCACGCGGCAGAAAAGCCATTGCTGTAGTCCAGGGCCGAAGTCCTCGACCCAAAATTCGAAAATCTCTTACTATCTCTTACTCCAGCACCGGGAAGCGAGGTCAGCGCAGGCAGCCAGAAAAACACCTTGTAACAGCCGAGAACGTCGAAATTTGCTCGGTAGAACTGCACGTTTTGCTTCAGCATTTCACAGAGAAATTCCTGGAAGCAAGCCAAAAACGTTGTACTTAGCCATCAGTTTTGCTTCCACAGTAAGAAGAAAAGAAGGCACCAGAATCTTAAAGCGATAGTAGATCTTCAAAACGTGTGTGTGTGTGTGTGTGTGTGTGTGTGTGTGTGTGTGTGTGTGTGTGTGTGTGTGTAGGTAATGTTCTGCTTATGGACACAGCGGGCCGCTCCACTGAAGACAGCCACGACTCTCAATACAAAGCAGAACTGTGGCCCGTCTGGAGTTGACGTCGTCGCCCCAGCGTTGGTGTGCGGTGTGTGTGGGTGTCTGTGTACACGTATACCTCATAACTTCTGCAGAGCCCGTAGGAAGCGCTTTAACTGTGCATCGATCGTGCGTGCCACTCTTGGCCAGAGGCATTTGCAGCGGACAAAGCTGCGAAGTATCTGTGCCCCTTGGATTCCGTATACGCTGCGTGCTGCCTGTATGCTTCATGTGAGAATTTCTGTGACAGCACGGAAGGTGTAAGGGAGATCTTTCATGTGTAAGGGAGGGTCATCCATGTATTCCTTGTCAGAACAGAAAAACGCAAACGCAGCAACTTCTCGAACTCTGCCCCGGTGTCTCAGGTCTATTTCATACTCGCCCTCCTCAGCGCTTCCAACGTCTACTTGTTGCGCCCGCCGGGTGACGGCTACGCCTGCACGCAGGGTGCAGGCCCCGGGAAGCAGCAAGCCCTTTCCATGGTGAGCGGCTGGGCGCCCTCTGGGCTGAGTGACCATGTGCGACGGACACTTCTGTCTGGATGGAATTTGTACTTTTTGTCGTTTCGTTTACAAATCCAGTTGCTCCAGTTCAAAACGCAAAGGGAAGGCGGAAGATCAATGTGCTTTGTTCACCTCGTTTCGACAACTCAACGACCTAGCATGGCCTTGAAGTAAACAGAGCGAAAGACGGTTCATGGAGCCAAATATGAACGCGAGCTCCGCTTTCAGGGACTAAGGGCATGCATGCATTGGTGCTCACGGAGGAGTGGAGGCACATAGTGCAAACATCACAACTGTGGCTCAGAATGGCGCACCTTGACCCGATCCTGCAAAAAACCTCTGCTTGTTTGGCAATAGAGCCGTAGCTGTGTTCCCACTCGGTTTCCCAGGTGTCTTGGAGCTGTTGACAGGACGAGAGGGTTGCGAATCTGGGTTTTCAGGTCAGCAGTGGATTTGGGTGCTTTGGGTCGGTGGCTGTTGCTGAAACACTTGCGGCTTCTCGCCTCTTCGCTTATTTGAGCATTGTTTCGGTGGGGGAAGCAGCCGCAGTAGCTGGAAGAATACCTGAAATGCTGAGACCTTGTAGAGGTGGCAGTGGTTTGCATACAAACCAGTCGCGACCAGTCCTATCAAACGTGAAAGAGCGTGTGCCAACGGGCGCAATGGAATCCATGTGCCCTCGGCTTTGGTGGGCAAAATTGACGGCTTTCTGTACATGAATTATAGGGCCAAAGTTCACGAGGTCCCTCTGCATCTATCGCATGCTTTCTCCTGGATCATGCGCAGGAGATGTTCACTCGAAGCCGATGAAAACCATCCGGGATGTTTCGGAGATTTGGGACTGGTCCGGTGCCCGAAGATGGTCTCGGTCTACACGCTGCACTTGTGACCATAGCGAACGGGGAGACTATCGTCATGAATACGTTGTTAGCGTACGCGCTGCCTATGTTGCAACGAATTCCTAGTGGCATGATCAACCACAAGCCTTACTTAGGGGCTAGTTTGCAGATGGTGTGCCTGCGCGCTGGAGTTGGCACTGAAGCATCCGCCGAGATGTTGCTTCCGGTATGCTTGCAAGAGACCGAATGCATGCACATTGCGAAGGCTGGAGAAAACACTTGTCGCCAGGCACCTAGCCGACCTAGCAACAGAAATCAGCCGTGGAGTAAGGACATCTCCAAGACACGAGGCTCAGTTCTCATCGTGTTTACCCTGAACCACAACAATCTAAGCCTGTTCTCGAGGGTTGCAGGGACGCCTGAGATGTGCTGGGCAAGACGCGTAACCGTAACCTCTGGTTGTTGAGGGTTGCATGGCCGGCCACGCTCGGTATGAATCGGAAGCTGTCTTGCCCGGTAAGGCATCCCATTGTGCTGTTTCTTGCTGTTGCTCTTCGGGTTTGTCTTGGTTGGGCTTGGCATGGCTTGGGTATGATAGGCTGCCCTGCATGCTTTCTGGCAAACAACTCTAAACTCACAAGTCATTGAACACTTTGAGATAGTTCAGCGTGAGATTCTGGTGATTCTGGGATTCGAGCCGTAAGTCAAAAGCATTCGGAGCTTCTCCAGGAACGCCGCAGCTCGCAGCATTTGGAGCTTTGTGAACATCTGGATTGCAGATGTTTCAAACCCCGCAAGCAATCTTGAATTCTTGAGATTTCACAGAATGGTTACGTTTGGCCGAAGGCTTGCTCGCTGCCCTGTCCCAGAGTCCCTGAAGCATTGGGCATTTGATGGAGGCACAAACCTGCATGGCCCTGACAGTGCTTCTGAGAGATTTTTCGCCCCGAGTACTGCAGCATTGCCACAATCTGCCGCGAGTGCCGCAATGCCTAAGCCACAGTTGAGCGAGGGATGTGATTCATGCGAGCACTTAGGTTTTCTTTGGTTCTGCTCAGGGGTTCACCAGTCGAAGTGTTTGATTCGGGGCAGCACACTGCCAAGCTCGGGGCTCTTAGGCTTTACAGGCTTGCAGTTCTCTTGCAGTCCTTGGAGCCGATGACGTTCTGACATCTTTCCGAGGCGGAGGTTCTCACTGATAACTCGACGTTGAGGCAGAGCAACTACCTCGTGGGCTATTTGCAGGTGCCGGGGGCCTGTTGTGAGGGCAGCCTCAAGCCCGAAAGGCATGGAACCAGCAGAAGATGGAACGCCTCCACCAATCTCAACATACAACCTAGGGAGCATTACCTGGGGAGCCGGATGCACTTCCAGGCCTCACGAAATTGAGACGTCTAGATGAATTCAGGCCAAGGGAAGGACAGGAACTGCGGAGCCTTGCACTCCAGGTGCTGGAACAGCAGGTTGCTATCCCCTCGGCCCTGCAATGCCGCGGCATTGAGGTGGGGGTGGATTCACAACCTTGGGTTTGTCTACCTTAGGTTCGCAGGATCTTTGTTTCGACAGGGCTTTCAGGTTTGAGTGTGTGTACTGGGCTGTTTTCGGATATACCTTGAACTGTAGTTCGGCTACTGCCGCTTCGGGACAAGCGCCAAGCCACTAGGGCTGGCCCTATTTTCGGTCCTGCAGCTGGCATGACTGACTTGCTGGGGATCTACACTTTTCCGTATGGTCTTCTGCACTCCGAAGCTTCCATCCATCTGTCCCTACCCCCTGTATTCAGGCATCCGACGGCAGCTTCTCCTGTGCTTTCCCGAGACTCCTTTCGCACGCTGATTTTCAGCGAATGTAAACACATGGCTGAGGAGGCATTTGTCTGAGGACTTTTGGCACTGTGCAAGGGTTTACTGACGTTTAGGAAGTGGGTATTGGCACACTGAAGAGTGCAGAGATTGCAAGCTTGGGCTTGTGATTTTCGATCATTCTTCTTTGACGCTGGAGGCAAGTCAGTGATCTGGCAGATAGGAGTTGGAAGGTCTGCGAAGAGGGCCGGTGCTCAGGCATGGACGTGAAGTACGAGGAGACGAAAGCCGCTGGCCTCAGGATCCATGACCCCTTCTCGTGTTTCTCAGTATTGGCCAAGACAGCCGGTCAGCGGTGGAGCGTCACAGCCAGTCCCGTAGAAGACGCTGTTCTTTTCAAGCACTAGTCCATATGGCGCTTGAGAAAGTCTTTTCAAACTGCTTGTCCTGCGACGATTAATGTAAGCACGACGATTCTCGTTCATCGGTGTAGGTCTGCATGAGATGGCACTTCCGCGTTTGGTGGAGGTCCTTCAGAAGGAGGACGAACTCCTGAAGAATTACTGGCAGAACAAGCTTGGCGAGGAGAAATGCTTGCTAACTTGAGAGCTCGCCAAAGTTCGAGAACAGGTTCTGTTCAGCTCCGTGGATCAACTCTCCGAGGTTTACATGTCAATACACTGACAAAGGGTGTGGGGCCTTGTAGGGCTTGAGGGCGAGCGTGGTGCAGGACGGCAGGTCGATCACCACTAAGCCTTGGCAGCACCATCACCCTCCTTTTAGCACCTCAGGCCAGGTGGCAAGCGGGGTGGCTGGCCGGGGGGCTGGCCGGGGCGGGGGTGGGGGGCATTGAGCTTCTCAAGTTGTTTTCTGTTGCACAGCCGCAGTGTCCCTGCTTGCATTTTGGGAAGCATGTGAGAATTAGGCACGGACGCACAAGGGTACACGTTTAACCCAATTCCAGAGGTGGGAAAAGTTGAACAGCTCAGCTCAACCTCAGCCCGAAGAATCACGAGAGGGACATCGACCAAAGCGGATTCGGCAAGCAGCCATGCCGCCTTCTACCGATCCGCTGCAGAATCCGCTACGAGCTGTCATTACGAGCTTCACTTGCTCGCGCTGTGGAAGATTCGATACATCAGGCCAGGGCTCACCGCTCATCTGTCGTCGCTGCCTGGAATCGGAAGCGAGTACCGCCCCGTCCCTGCAGTATGCCTACACGAGCCTCATCTATGGTGGCACGATGCCGCACATCATGGGGTACGTCATGGGAGCGTTGGCATTAGGTTCGAGCCTTGCACGAAGCGGAAGCAAGCACAAGCGCGTGTTGCTGCACACGGACAACGTGCCTGCGGAAGCGCTGCGGCTGCTGGGACAGATCTGGGAGCTACAGCAGGTGTCTTACATCATATCCGCTGGGGACCTACATGTATCAAGCGACAAGGCAAAATTCCGAGAAGTGTTTACAAAGCTGCATGCTTTCAATCCGGAGGTGCTCCCTTTCGACAAGGTTGTTTTTCTGGATCTGGATATGATTGTGTTGCGCAACATCGACGAGCTTTTCGAGCTGCGCACGCCTGCAGCCATGAGCACAGCCAAACACAGTAGTTTCGATGATTCTGAATGTTTACATGGCCAGCGGCTGTCTGTAAAGATGTGTTACATCAATGCTGGCACGATGGTCCTCTCGCCTTCGAGAGAGCTCTTCGAGCTGCTTTTAGCGGACGTCCTACAGCCGGATCCCCAATGGCACGTTCAAGCATGGTCTCCAGAGCAGAAGTACCTTTCGAACGTGATGTGCGGCGAGTGGAGCCACGTGAGCCAGCTCTACAACTTTGAGGTGCAGTTGCACTCAGGTGTGCCCTTGACACAAGTTTGGCAGAAGACGCACGTGCCCGACATCGCTGTCGCACATTTCTCAGGAGCGGAGAAGGTTTGGGACACAGAGCCTGACAAGGAGCTGCCCATACTCAGCAACACCTTCGCACGGAACTTGTTGGCATCACTGTCGCCGGCTGTCCAACAGCTGGCAGTGGGTCGGTGCAAGCTGCTACATGCAGAGTGGCATGTGAACTACGCGCTTGCACTGCAGAGCTGCAGAGCCACACTTTCGCCTTCCGAGCTCCAGGGTTGGAACCCTGCATGGCGGTCGCTTCTTGCCAGGGGCACGGGACAGGAGGAAGTACACGAGGACATGAAGGGAACAGGCTGGTGCCCGGGAGACTCCCTGGCCGTAGAGGAGCCAGGAACAACAGGTACCAACGCCTCAATTTTCCACTTGGCGACGGTGCTGCGGCCAAAGGGCGGCTTGCTTGTGCTTTATCGGAAGCATGCCAAAGCTAGCCTCGGGTACCAAATTGAAGGCCGGATAGAGCAGATCGAATCCAAGCAAGCACTGGACCTCACTTTGCCCGGTAAAGGGGAGGACGACTTCGGCTTGGGGCTCAAGGCTGCTGTGTGGCTCGGCGATGGTCACATGCAGGGTATGGTCGTGGCGTGTCGTGGCAGTGAGCGGCTGCTGCAAATTGGATCACACTGGACTTGGATGCCTGTTGGCTCCCTGATGCCATGCACAGCAGCTCAGGCAGACTTTGCAGATTTGCAGTACTGAGCAGCTGCCTGCAATGTTCACGCGGCAGCTTCTCTCAAGGACTATGGAGATGCTGCGACTGCAGCTTGGCAGGCTTATGACATCACCGCCTGCAAAGAAGATGGTGCGCTATGCTGCAAGCCTCGATTGTATGCGGCATCGTGAGGCCGCCACAACCTGTGAGCTGATTTGTCTCCTTGCCAGGCTCCGCGCCCAAAGCTTCATCATTCGCGCCGTCAGACGCATCAGGATTTCGCGACTTGACTCCAGATTGGCTGGGATGGTCATCACTCCATGTCACCCCAGTGAAAATGTTCAAAGTGCTCCCCGCTTGAACTTGATCAGATTGGCCACAACATTTACTACCGCTTCTTTGCTGGTTGACGGTAGTCCAGGTAGTCCAGGTAGCACAGCTTTGCAACTGGGAGCTGGGTCCCACGAGAGCAGTACTTCTTTTGGGCAGTCAGCTAGTCCATTTACAAGGCGTTTCTGTCACGCGTCCTGCTCGGTATCAAAACCTCGTTTCGGGATCCAGAACTCAGGCCTGGAATACAATTTGCAGCACTCGCTGGGATCTCAGACGCGCAGCTCTCCGTCCGCTGTGCATGGCCGAGGGCTGTCTAGAACCTGCCATGCCTGAACGAGAACCCCCGAAGAGAGAGGATCGGCCTGAATCAGCCTGGGAAGCCCATTTAGTACCTCCCCGCCCTCAATCGTCGTAGGCTGCTTTGCTTTCTTTGCTGCAAGATGCTCAGGACTGCCTTCCCGGCCTAAAGCCGACATCGGGCTCATGTTTGTGTGTATGCACCCCTCCCAACAGCAAACCAATGGCAAAATACCCTTCATTAATTGGGAAACTCCTACAGGCCCCATACGAAGCCGAACCCTTCCCTTCAAACTTGCTTTGGGCTGCAAGGTTTTGGGGACGGGGGCGTCCCGCCTAATTGGCTAAACCTTCATAGCAAAAAGCTTGAGAAGGGTGGTGGGAAATCACGGGTCAACATTTGATCCCAAGCAAGTCAGGAGAAGAACCAACTCCGCGATTCGAGGGGCACTTCTTCTTCATCCAGACTCAGACTACCTGACAGTAATTACCTGACATGACCTGAGGCCGCTGAGTGACGTGCGCGAAGCTTTCCTCCAGGCGGCTGGGCAAAAGCCGGACGTGCCATTTGTCAGACGGTTCCTTTGAAGTGTTCCGAAGTTTGCACTTGACATGTCTCGACACCCCAATCGATGCTGACCTGGGCCTATGTAGTGACACGAGTTGTTGTATGCAATGTTATGCAATGCTTGACAAGGACTTCTCCATTTCCTTGGAGTCGAGTCTCTTGTGCTCTCCAGGACATGGCTTTCCTTCGCTCGGAGGGGTGGCCAGAAGCCAAGACAGAGGGGTGTCTCGTGTAAGTACACATTTTCCGACGGTTGAGGCTCTCCGTGCGCACCCGGGCTTTGCACATCAGCTTCGTCTCCTATAATGTTCACGGCCTGGAGAGTCACAAATTTTCAGGATGGCAAAGTTATTCCAGCATTCACCTTGCCTTTTTTGCCCAGGCTGCCTATCTTACATGGATCTGGAATCGGCCAGGCCCTCATCCCTTGCAAGATCCGCGGAAGGGCACGGTTGCCACAAAACACCAAGGTTTACCTTCGAGCTCAGCGCGTTTGGAACCATCCATGCTTTACCCAATGTTCAGCTGTACAGGCTGCATTCTGTACGCCAAGATTTTCTCGCCAGCGTTTCTTGAAGTCTGTTGATGCGAGGCCGCGCGTGTTCGATTATGGCCTTGAAATCAGCCTAGCTTTCACAGACATCACGAGGCACCGTTGGGCACTTTGCAGCTGATGGTATTCCCTCCTGTGACCGTGCAGGTTTGTGATGCTGTTGTACGTGTTTTTCCAGGCCTGCACGGATGGATTCAAATAGGATGTTGGGGGGGGGGGGGGGGGGGGGGGGGGCGGGGCGGGCATGAAAATGCACGAGCCTCAACACTACCCGTTCGTTGCAGATCTACTGGGACTTCCGCTACGTGCAAGCGAAGTCCGGCGCAGGTTGGAAACACCTTCTCACATCACAGGCCCGAAGCAAACGCACCCTGTTGTCACAAGGCTCACAATACATCCATCCATGGACTGATTGCATATTGCAGATGTGACCAATCTGACCAATCGAAAGTTTTTGGCAGTGGTTAATGAATGACGTCAGGCACTTGTTGATGCGACGATGATCATCCTGTTCATTATTGTGTTTGCTTTGCGAGCATCGTACCTGGGAAGCGCGGAAACCTCAGAGTTACCAAGAACATGCCCACGTGAATGGCACGCACAATTGGTGTGGCACCAATCAGGATTCGACAGTGGGATACACAGTGTCGCACGTGAACAGTTTCCAAGATGCATGCGACCCAGTTGGAGTAGTCAGAAGCCAGCAAACCTTCATGCCGAACGCCTCAGGCTGGCCAAATGGCAGAATATTACTCTTTGCATACAACGCTGGATACCATATTGTTGGCAGGGGCCTTGGCATGTGGCTCAGCGTCGGATCATTGAGTGGAGTGAGCGTGTGAGGCCCTTTGCGTGTACAGATTCTTTTACTTCCTCCGGGTGAACCGTCAGGTACGCAATCGCGATGTTTTGCTTGACCATGCTTTCCAATTTTGCATGCACTCTGTGCTTGAAAAAATTATGGCATTTCTTTGGGGAGGTCTTCATCTTGTGGGCAACAGTGCATCGAGCATTCCAGACGGCCTCGAGGTGGTGTTCGGACATGTTCGGACTGCATGCCGCTTGCCATCGCATGTGTCGTCCCCGTTACCTGGAAGGCTCGTGCTCCTGTTGGCATTGCCTGTGCTCGTGGCATTTGTGCTTTGCCACATGGCCACTGTTCAGCAAGACGTCCTGCACCCAAACATGGTCAAGTTGCTCCCCAAAGCTGCCTTTGATAACCACCCCAAGATCCCCGCCGCCCCAAGCACCAAGGCGGCCGGCTAAGAAAGCCCTAAGGCAGTGACCTGCCGGTACTTCAGCATGTTAATCACAAATAAAGAGCCTGGCACATCAGCAAAGTCCCAAGCCGTCCAAAATCCCTTACCCCAGGCGGTCACCGGCGCGTCCCTGGAGAGCGGGAGGCCTTGACAGCACGTTTAGGATGCAACATTACACAAAACAACACTACCAGGATCCAACAGGCTTCATATCATCCCCTGTGAGGCCTAACTCGCGTCCCGACATCCCGAAACCCTGAACCCTCTCAGGGTGTATCCGCCAAAGCCCTCCGCCGAGTGCCAGAGGAACTTTGGGGCCACTTTTGCACGGACGTTGATCCTTTTCTTCGGTGACAACACCACAGTGGCGGAGTATGAGCCTAACCGATTTTACGAGCCGCGGCCCCGGCGTAGGCTGTCCTGGGCCGTGTGGAGATGTGTGCTTGTGTTTGGGTACTAGTATGCCATCCAAGCATGAGCGACATATGTGATCGCGGGGGGGACCAGGGTGCACCCTGATCATAATATAAACCTGCTAATTATGCTCACTAGCTGACAGAGTTCGGTCTATTGGAATCTCGGTGACTTGGTTGCGAAGTGTGATGAGAGCTCAAACTGCGCACCGAAGGGGGAGGGGGGGCAGGACGGCACAAAAAACGTTGGATTTACAGGCTCGTATCTCCTTTCCTTCGCTCAGCACCATCCCAGCCTCAAGTTGCAGTGCTGCCTCCATCAAATCGCGGTGTTATTGTTGCTGGATATGCACTTCATTCAGTCACTCCGCAGCAACCCGCCACACACACACACTTAGGCTCGCTTACAACGTCGGTCTCTTTTACATGGGAAGGCCAGATCCAGCACGTGTATTCGCATCGTTGCAGTGCGGAGCAAGCACATGCAAGCACCACTCTTTTTGGAGATCCGGGAAGTGAAAAAAATTGACAGGCTAGTCATCGCCAACACCTGGACGGCTATACTAATGCAGGAGCCGGAGCCTTTCAGGGCTCAGAGGGGTTTAGTCACTTCAGTAGCAACCGAGTCACCTGAGGTATCAAAAGATGCGCGTCACTGCCGGGTACGATCCGAAGCACTACCGATGGAAGGAGCAGTCATTGGAATGTTAACTACCCTATGCATGCCGCCAAGTGCCCGAATTTCTTGTGTGCCCGCTGGCAGGAGTTCGACTGGGCCAGTCGGTGCCTGAGCGACATCCCGCGACACATGTTCTGCATTGATGTATCGGCTTGTATCAAAACCTTCTGACAAACCCACGCAGAAAGCGCTTCTCTCTGAATAGAGTCCGGATTTGACTGCAACCGCCATGCCTGCTGAGACTGGGTTCTCCCGTGGTCAAGCCTGCACGCTTGAAGATGTCATTGGGGCTTTCTGGGGGTCGACTATAGTACGCCTACCAACACAATGTCAATGACCAGGGGGTGGTTGGCAGCTGCAGCTGATGTTATCTCATGTAGGGCAGGGCGAGGTTGCCTCATTGCGAGCGGTTTTGAGGATCGGGAGCCATTTAATTTAACTTGTAGCTTGAGACTACTAGAATCTTGCGAAGCCCTTTGAATCTCCAAACCCTCTCCAGCCAGGCCCTTGAAGGGTCTTTACCTCCGCTTGCGGCCCTCGATTCGGCGGCTGTCCAAGGGGGTTGGGTTTCGTGTGTCAAAGTTGGTTTTGTCTTCTTTGTGCTGGAAGTTTGCGAGGTCAGGAAGTAGCATTCTCATTCTGGCGTGAGTACAGTTGAGCTGCGAGCACCATACGTGTTTGATACTTAGGGTCAGCTTGGTATCTCTCGTGCGATGTGACAGCAAGAGTTGCGCCACCGTTCGTATTGCTGCAGGGGAAACAGCATTGGCCCCAGGCCGGTGAAGCGCTTTCACGACGACGACAGCCTTGAATGAGCACTCCGAATTCCGGCATTCATGAAAGCCAGAAGGCCAAGCTTTACGTTTCCTTTTGATCGCGCCAGAGTCGGAAAGACTCGCCAGGCCTAGAAGCACCAACAACAACTTGCAGTACCCTTCAGCTTGTTAGTGAATTGACAGTGCGCAGCTACCCAGGCTCAGGGTTGCTTGCATGACCCAGGCACCAGTGAACCTTGGAGTATTTGCCGCACAGACACGACATAAAGAACGTGCAATTCACGCCGCCGGGCACGCAGCCGAGCCCCGAAGATGGGCGCAGCCGCCATGCCCGCGGTGTTGAGAGCAAAGCATTATGAAGGGAGAGCCCGCCGGACAGCAGAAGCCCCAGTTCAAGTTTGCCCGAGTTGGAGTTGCCAGAGCCAACCGTGCCAATCGTCGTTCTGTTCCCTGATCTACCTCTCCATGCCTTACTTATCAACTAGGAGCTCACCAGTTCACAAGTTTATGTTGGGGATATCAGGAGAGCAGGTACAAATACGCCGAGGTTTCAGCAGCAGCAGAATCCCACACCATCTCTGATTCGGGGCTAGGCCTTCTTGGTTTCTGTGAATAGTGTGGCTTCTTGTGCTGGAGTGCTTACCTTGGCTCCTGTGTTCGGAGACACCCTCGTCGCCCTGGTTTATGCGACATGGTTGTTAGCTTACAGCCGCCTCCTGTTGCAAAAGAGCTTGGGGTTTCATCTCGACATATGCGATAATCCGATCATGTACATGCAATTCATAACTAGTGTGACACCAATAAAGGATGACCCGCGCTTCAGCGCATGTACGTAATTGGGTATTCCAGGTAAATGCTTTGCAACATGGTCGCTTGCTTGTCAAAGTTAATAGCAAGAGCCGGTATGACCATTCAACTTCTCCAACTTGTCTTGACAGATGAGACCCATGGCTCCTTGATCAGTACAGGCAGCAACGATGGAGGGTCTAGCCCGGCCAGCGTGCAAGGGCCCTTGGCAGGGCGGGAAGTTCTATTTCAAGCAGTGCTGGGCTTATCAAGTAGTCAGTCTGGTTTGTAATTCAGCACAGTGACACTCGACCGAACCGCGATTGCCCGAGAGCCTTTGCCAGGCCATTTCTTTCCTCTCAAAGAGTTGTTCCCAATTTTTTGCAACGTCGAGTTTCGAGCCGGCGCGTCGCAATCATCCCGTAACTCGGGACTCTGAATGCTAAGTGCCGGACGTCAGGGCTTCAGAGGGGAAACAGTAATCATTTCATGGCGCATGAGCAGCAGAAGAGGTTGGGCCTAGGAGGAGTGCTGTCGTTGACATGACCGGATCGGAGAGTTTCTAAGTTGTCCAACTAGCCACTGACTGCCCTGAGCTTTTCTGGTGGCCATCCAACCTATCTTCTGTGCATGCCGTCCCGGTGGGCCTTGCTCTGACAATTTGCTTTCGGCTCTCCCAGCTGTTCATGGGGGAGACCATCAAAAGCCATCCAAGCCCAATTGTGCTTACTCCTGGCAATCCCAGGGTCCCACTCCACTTGGTGAGTCCAAGTAGCTCTCTCGCAAAGGGCCACCTGGAACCCCGGCCCACAACAAGCCTGAAGCCCCAGCGTTAATGCCTCAAGCCCACCAACCAACTTGAATGGGGGATATGAAGGCCTGCTCAAGCATTACATCCTTCAGACATTTGAGCTAGCTTCAATAGTTAGCGTGCATGCCTTTTGCCATGCTACGATGACTTGAGAGCCTCTCCGCTCCCATGGCATCCTTGCTGCACTTCAAAGGACAAAGGATCTTTTTCTTCGGATTGTTTACGCCCTCGGGGTTCATACATGGGTTAACGACGATGTTGGGAGTTGGCAACGACATTATTGCACATCGACTCGAACATACTCAAAGCCAAGGCGGATGATTCTAGCGATCTGCTAGATGCCCTGCATAGCCGGAGACTGAGACCTCGGTTTAGGATGGGGCTTCTTGCCTTGCTTTTGGGAGCTTTCAGGTGCTTGGTGTTGCCAGGATGTTTGGATGTATTCCCCCTCCTGGTGGGGGGAGTTCCCAAAGCGGCTGGAGGGGCCTTTTATCACTTGTTACTCACAGTGCTCCTGTGATGAAGACCCGCAGCGTTCCAAAGTTAAGCCCTGGACAACGCAACCCCGGAGACCACATGACCCTTGCCCGAAACCTCAAACTCCAAAGCCGAAAGCCACGTCAGTGCTCGACTCATGCCCCTAAGACCCCAGACCCCCCAAACCCCCAAAACCCACACACCACGGTGGGGATTCCCGCCGGCGCCTGAATCCGCAGCGCTCAGTGCGCGGATCTGGTCCGTCCAGTGCGCGAATCGGTTTCCAACCCCCGCCGTCAGCGGCTTTGCGGTTCAGGGGTTTTGAACAGGGGTTTTGAACGGTATGCCCAATGCATCCCCACGTGCAGATTCCGATGCACCAGATGCGAGGCTTGGACATCACTGCTTGCAAAGACCTCATCCGTCAGCTCCAGGCAAGGCGCGAGCGCCGTGCGCAGCCGAGAGATGCCAACAATCTTTTGTTTTCCCTGAAAATTTCTGAGAGTTCCTGCAGAGGGCCTCAGAGAGGGCGTCGGAGCTCAAGTGCATTTGTAGTGTTCGTGTGGGTAGTTGCGGAGGCCGTCAAGTTGCTGTCCAAGCTGCAGGGTTAAGGTTGGTCAGTGCGACCTTGGCCCTCGAGGTCGGGAGCTGGTCGAGCGATTGCAGGAGAAGCTCAAGGTTCGAGGGGCCAAGTGGGATGGGATCGGATTCAGGCTTAAAATGGCCTCGGGCAAGATGTGGGTGTTTGGCCTGCAAACACCTTAGTGCCTCGCCTGGCTTGTCCAAGTGTGAGCGATGAATCCCCGCAACCAGCCTGATAGCAACAACGCCCGCAAACCTCGAGCTCGAAGCCTCAGCTGCCCAGAGCTGAGACCTTCGCAGGCTCTCAACAATGAGCTGGCAGCTCGCAAGGAGGAGGGGGACCGCTGCGCGGCGCTTGGTGCGGTCGGTCACAGGACTTCAAGTGTGTGCGCTTTTAATTTTCGGTTCAATGCCGTTGGACATTCGGAGGTTTAGATGTCAAGGACGTTCATAGGCATGGAGGACCTTGATCTCACATTATATTATATACTTCGAAGGAAAGCATCTAGGCCGGCAGCGGAAATCCTGCCGTGAACCATGCGGACCTTCAGTACTCACAGCTGGATCGCTCATGCGATGGACGGTTACAGGTTGATGAGACTTAGCCAACGGCTTGCCATTCAAGCTCCAGACAAATGCAGTCCACACATGCAGCATACACTTGAGGTGGACGGACATCCCAGCAAGAGACCCACAACATCCGCCCTTCTCGACGCCCCAAGGTAAGCAGGACCTCCTCGATGAGCAAGCCAAGAATCGTCGCCTCGCTGAGAAGAGGCGCGTGTGCAGCTCACGGTTCCGAGTGGCGGTGGTTGCAGCTTTGTCATGACACTGTGTTCCTGGCAGTCCAACAAGGAAGAGACCATGACGCAGCATCATGTCATTTCTTGTCGCAACGGCAGGGTTATTGGTAGCACTTGTGTTTCACTGATCTAAACTCATGGTCAGACCCCCGGTGAGATTCTGAACATTGCGATGGTAGATCGTAGCTGGCAGGCAAATGTAGGTCCGTGCAGTGCAACGCAGACCAACCATTATTAAATGTGCGACAGTACCTTTGTCGTTTCACATGGTCTTGAACTGCGAGCTTTCATGGGGCCGGCTGTAGATACTACCATGCTGCCTTGCATGTCCAGGCGGCAGAGGGGCGGCGAGAAAGAGGCATCGAAGTACCAATATGGGAGGAACAAGTTATGTCAAGTGAGGCTAGGGCTACCGTAAGGCTGGTTTCTGGCTGAACTGTAAACGCTGCACGTGGGCTGCATTGTTTTTATCTCTCGTGCGAACTTGAATCGAGACCGGGGCGGTTTTGGAGGTTTGCCAGCCGGATGTTTTTACGTTAGCTATGGTGATTCGCCCCCACACGGCGGCCAAAAGGTATACCAGAGTTTAAAAGGGTTCAATGGCAAAGCAAGGCCCTCGCGTTATTGGGAGGGGTCCTTTGGTCTGCTGGTCGTCTGTTTCTGTTATGTAAGTTTTGTGAAGCATCGCTCTTGGTTTCCTTGACTTTGAGTCCTTTTGTTTCCTGTTGCCTCCTTATGTTGGCAACTTACCGTTCTGCCTCTTGTTTTCTTGCTGTATGCTTTGTTTTGATGTTGTTGCTTTCGATGCTGTTGCCTGGCCTCTTGTGTTACAGTTGCTATCTGTTACCCTTTTTCCCTATTCTCTAGACGAAAGAAATGTAGGGATTTTTTAGTGATTGCCAATGGAGGGGCATCATAGCACGACCCGCGAAGCATGAATTGAGTTTTTCCGTTCGAAGTGAAAATAGAGGTTTTCCTGTCCTCATGGTAGAAATCAAGGTTTCCCATAGTAAATATAGAGACGCCTATTGCAATACGGAAGCTTTGCATGGAACATTTCAGAGGTTTCTCGTCAGCATAAGGGGAAACCGAGCCTTTCCAAGTTTGGATTGGAGGAACTAGAGTTTTCTATTCCGGTTAAATAGGGATGTTTCCCGTGAGGATACAAAGACAACAGGTTTTCCCAAAACAAATTTCGCATCAGCTAAAATAAAACATAAAGGACGTACAGGTTTTCTACTACATGTCATTTACCCCACCCTCAACAAAAACAAAAACAAAACAACAAAACAAACAAAGTACCCAGCAAGTTCTCCACCAGGTCGCGTCGATCCAAGATGATCTCCAGCGCGAGCAGGCAAGGGGGGAGCCATTGGTTGCATGATGTACTGAGTAGTTGGGAAAAAACATGGTTCATGGCGCTCTTGAGAAGGTGTACTGTTTCAAACTGCTAATCCGAGCTTCTGTTTAATTGGGGGGCCCCCCCCCCCCCCTCCACAATAAGGAATGCAGGGTTCCGCAATAGTTGGACCATGGCCCTGTATTGATTCTCTATTGAAGACAATAGGCTGCAGATCCCTGAGGTGCTGTAGCTTTGCGTCTCCGCAAGCAAAACAAGAAGCCTGCCGACAGATTTTTGAACCCCCCCAAAAAAATTTCTTTAAATGTGGGGGTATTAATTAAACTGATGCTCGGATTACGACAAATCCACAGTGGGGTTAGCCTTGGCGTTGGTGCCCCTACCGTCAGGAGATGGAGTTGCAAACCGCGAATGTGCGCCGCTTCATGGAGACGACGTTGCAGGAGCAGGCGCCAAGAGATGGATTTTTGCAGCTGTGGGAGCTATGATGTCTACTAGGCAGTTTGGGTGTTCGTCGGTGTTCCAGGGGTCACTGGGTGTGAACTGTATACGTTCTCAGTTGGCCGTGGGCATTTCGCTGTTCTGTACTTGGACAGAGGTACCGTACGAACTAAGGAAGAACATACAGCTGTCATAGTCGTCTCCACTGTGTCAATGCACACGAGGTTTGGTGACGCACAAAAACCATACTCACAAACAAAGTATATGTAAGTACTTACAGACCTACACATGCAGCGATATATGTATATGCTGTATAGTATGGGAAGCATGTACCCCATATTCAAACGGATCATCGCTCAAGCCTTGCATCTGACATCGGTGGGGCCTCAAGTGTAAGACTCGGCGGGAGGTACAGCGAAACCGAACTCAAAACGAGTGCGGGGCCTGGACCGGAAGGGCTTTGCGCCGCCGATGATTGGCAACTTCGTGGGGCTTAGGATTCCTGAGGACCTCCCATGCCCAGTGTGGCCAGTGCGATGTGAGGCTCGTTGAGGCTCCGAGGGGGCGATGCCGGTTTATCTTTCGAAGCCCACGGTTCTGAGCAAAATGTGCGTGGAGGACGGGTGTGAGAACTGAGCCTGCTATGTGAGTTGCTGGCGTTGATGTGGATGCCGAGGCTAGGTATTCGCATCTACGACGAGGTTGAGCTGATGGTGGACAAGCAGGGGACCCCAAGACGATAGCGAGTCTTGCAACGTAAGGGAGTCTGCCCTCCTTGGTGGGCAAACTACTGAGGTGGCTAGCTTGGCGAAATTTGAAAGTATCCTAGACTGCTTAGACTAGAGCAACTATACTGCTTGAATGTCTCTGCAATCCGTGGCGGTGCGACTATGGAACCGCGAGAAGTTTGAAGCATGTTGGGATGATGCGTGGCATCACCTACCACTTCCTTTGCTACTCCAGCTGCACATGACAACGCCCAACTTATTCTCAGATGATTCAACCCGAGACTTGGCAAACTCAGATCTCTGCCGAAGAGAGTTCTCCATTCCGCATGCTCCCAGGTCCGCCGAAGAACAAGCCTTGGAGAGTTCCCTGGCTTTTGAATGTAAGGCCTCAGGACCTAAGTTCCGAGTTCGCAGAGGTTGCCGGGTTGCCGGGTGGCCGGGTGGAGGGTTCGGTTCGAATCCAGCGCTCTCTCATATGGGTTGTTGTCAAAATGCTTGTTCCCGAAATTGACGTTAAATCGGAACTCCCTCGGTGCCGCCTTATGTCCTGAAGGAAAAAGAAGCTGATTGAGATGGAGTAGCAAACGCGACATCTGAAGGATCCAAGCATGATTTCCTAGAAAGGGTGCTAGCGCGGACCATTTTTCAGGCGCTGCTGTCGGACGAGTCGTCACAAGAACTGCTAGTGTTACTGCTACATACTGCTGCTGGAGTTCTGGCGCGAGCGAAGGTTTCTCCGCTGTCGCCACTTGCGGGGCTCGAGCTCCAGCAAGCATAGCACTATCGGTTCTATGGTGTGAATGGGCCATGGTCTGCCGGGGGAGTTTGCGTTGACATTTTGCTAGCGCCGTGCTAGCGCGGCGCTAACGCAAAACATTGTGCCGGATTTTCCAAGATCTGATACCACGACGTAATGAACGACGAAAACAAGCCAGGAGCAGCACATGTACCAAGTATAACAAGAATATCGTTTCTTTCTTGTCATCGTTTTTCCTAGAAAAACCCCTATCCCCTGGCAACAGGGCCCCGTCAATTCATAACGAAGAGGCGCGGGGTTATTACACCACCCCGGATGTTGTACGCATATTTCGGGTGGTGCGCCTGGCTGGGCCTTCTCAATCAATCTCTGTTGGGTTCGCTTAGTGGTGACATGCGAAATTTGAAATAATGTTTGTTGATTTTACCTAGCGCGAACCTAGCGTTTTCCTAGCGCCACACTGGGGTTTTAGGGGATCCCCCTCGGTGCCGCCTTATAGCAAAGACATGAAAATAGACCGGCCAAACCAATTAATGTAAATTAAAGTAACTGAGCAGACACGCGAATTTTGAACGCAACCCATATGCGTGATAGCGAGTGTTCAAGGCTCCTGCCTCCTCAAGATTTACCTCGTGACTCAAATTGTCAAAGGTAGATACATCGACACGGTCTTGGTCACGTACTGCATCCCAAACTCCGAACTCAAGTACAACCTCAGCTTCCGCGTGGTTGACGCCTCAGTTGGCGAGCCCCACTTTGCATTCTGCAGCATTTTGCGGAACCGTCGCAGCTCTGGATTGAGAACACCTCATGCGCAAGCCAATGCCCCATCAAAGTCAGCCAGCCGGAGGACAAGGACATGAAGTCCAAGAACTTGCGCGAGGACGCCTGTTTGTCGGAGCCCTGGCCTCCTTCCCGACGCGCAGTTGCAATGGTAGCTGCCCCCCAGCAGAGTTGCACCCACTGCTGTTCCTGCGGGCATGCGCACTGCTGCGGATAGGAGCGTTCAAAGTGCCAGACGTCTCTCCTCTCAAGTGTTGTTTTGCACCTTATAGCTTTGTTGTTGGGAGTGAAAAACCCTCGTCAGCCACACTCATCGGGTCCATGTTCAAACTGCGCCTGTGGCGGTTGTAACTCTCAAAGAGCAGAGCTCTGCTCAAAACGCGCTTTTGATCCGATGTGCCCGAGGTACTGGGGCCTGTCGGAGGTGGACTTCATCTTGAAGACCATGAGCAACGCCAAGGTTCATGATGACCTCACGCGCAGAGCTCAGGGACTCGTTTGAGGGAGGAGGGCTGCGCGTCCAACATATTCCAGCTTCAACCAAAGGATCCAGAGCTGTTTCAACGACAATGAAGATGCTCACTTCAGCCTGGTGCAAAAGACACCGCCCGGCTCCCAGAAAGCTTTCCAGCAGGTGGAACGCAGGCTCCCTCCTGTGTTTTGCATAGTGTGTTGTCAATCCTTTTTTTCTTTTTCCTTTGCGAAAGAAGAGGCTCGCACTCATCTGAGGAAGAACGCATCCTTGATGGACAGGGAGTTGACGAACATCTTGCCCAAAGCAGGCGAGGCACTGTGACGGCACAGCGCTAGATGTGCTGGCGAGAAGGTTCTGCGCGGTTCAGCGACGGATCAATGCAGAGTCAGTACGCGCAGTCTTGAGTTGATGGCGTGCGGAAGCGCGGATGCGCGCGGACGTTTTAGACGCATGACAAATGGCTGGCACAGGCCGGAAGGCACGGCGAGGAGGTCGAGGACCCAGAGAGAGAGAGAGAGTCCTTTTTTTGAAGAATCGGGTTACACTGTCAGTCGTTAGGTCTGTTGGGGAAGTTTTGGGGCCGGTAGGATGACTGCAAGAGTCCTTCAGTTGCTCCGTAGAAAAGGGCAGAAGGTTTAGGGTTTATAGGGTTTCAATGTGCAAGTTCCAGGACCAACGAGCGCTCCATTGTTGCAAAAGGGCAGAAGTGTGACTCAGGTGCCAACAAGTCCAGGGATGACACCGGGAAGGCCGAGGGCGCAGCAGTGGGAGGTGCCAGCATGTGCCAAGCACGGTGTGAAAGGCGTCACTCCGGTTTTCGCGGGTTCGGAGCGCCTCAGGGGCTTTCGGGTCTTGAGGGAAAGGAGTGGCAGTGGATCGTAGGGCTGATGCTGAAGGGTCCATGGAGATTTTCTCGACTCGAAGTGGTTCTTTGAAGAGTCTCAGAGGTTCCAGCGGCGAACTCGCCGAGCAGATGATGCTCCTTCCCGGCCTTTTTGCGTGGGGCTGCCTGGGAAGGGGAGGAGGGGGGGGCAGTTCTTGTGCGATGTTATGTCAAACCTGGGAAGTGCTACACAAAGCTTGAGTTGAATTGAGAGAGGAGGACTCCACTGTCCGAGGTTTATGACGCAGCGGGACCGGAATGTCAAGCAGCCGCGATCTCAATACTGTAACCTGTAGCAACGGCCACCTGTCATACTGGTGACGGCCAAAGCATTACAATCTTCAAGCACGCCGGAAGCACAGGCACCTCCAACGCCTGAAGCTGCGTAACATTTTTGCCGGCTTCTCAGGTTAACAGGGTCCTCGTTCAGGAGGATTTGAGATTGGGCTAGAGCAGAGTTCGCATGACCTTCAACAATGATTTGTGATTATTCCTGTACCTGCTGATTGCCATACGAGCACATAGATGCCAATGCTGACATCTTTGCACTTGCACTGAGCAGGCCGTTTCCTGCCAATTTGGGTGGGCCTAGCACAGACTGGAAGTTATTTTAAGGGGCTGCGCCCATGGGCGGGCAGCGCACGCAGAAGCCCGGGGCGAGCAGTTTCTAAGCATGTTGAGGCCCCTAAACTCCCTTAAAATCTCTAAGCGTTAAGTTTCTAAGCATTTTCAGGCCCCTAAACCCCCTTCAAATCTCTAAGCGTTTGAGGCTCCGAGACTCCCTTAACGTTTCTAAGCACTTGAAAAGGCCCCTAAACTCCCTTTTTCCTAGCCCCGGGCTTAGACACGTCGCTTATGCCCGCCCTTTGGGGGGCATCATGCTCCTGATGCCCCCCCACGGTCCCGCCCCGGGAGCCGCTGATGCTCCTGATGCGCGCCTGGGGGTCCCGGGCTGGACCCGCTGATGCTCATGATGCGCGCCCTCTGGGGGCCTCCGTGGCGACGCAAAAAACCACGAAAAAAAAACCGTTCACCGGCGGCACGCGGAGGAGGGCGCGGAGGGGGGCGCGGAGGGGGGCGCGGAGGGGGGCGCGGAGGGCGTGGAGGGCGCGGAGGGCGCGGAGGGCGCGGGGGGCGCGGAGGGCGCGGAGGGCGCGGAGCGCGCGGAGCGCACGGAGCGCACGGAGCGCGCGGAGGGCGCGGAGGGCGCGGAGGTGTTAACTTGCGTTGATTGCTGGTTTTGCTGTTTGTCCGAAATTAAGGAAGCCATAAGTGTTGCAGCAATTCTCCGAAAAGCTAGAAGTGTTTTAAAGCTGCTTTCATGCATCCCGCTGCCGTTTCTTGTGGCGCAGCCTGCGATGTGTTGCTGCATGATGTGGGTTGTGGTAGTATATGCCTGTGATGTGGGTCGTGTCACAACTTGCCATGTCACGTAGTCCAGCCTCTGATGTAGTGCAGCCTCTGTGATTTGTTCCTATGTCGTTGTGGGGCACCCATGATATATATCATGTCGTGCAGTGGTGCAGCCTGTGATGTGTTGCTACAAGTCTGATGTTGTGCCGTTGTATTCGCAAAGCTGCCATGTGGAATCTTCAAATTGGAAACACTGGAAAGGGCAGTGCCGTGTGATGAGCGCGCCCAAGTGTCTCAGTTGCCATTAAGGGTTGCATGGTCCACCCCGCATGGCACGGTTGCAGGTGCCGTTTAGCGATCTGAGATTTGAAGGTCAGGCTGCTGGTTCGGTTTGATATTGGTGCTTTCACTGGTCAACGCACTCCCGCTGCCGCTTTACTTTTCCGTGTTTTGCCTGCAAAGTAGCGATTCTGTTGGTTCAGTGGCCACGTGCATCGATTCAGATCGGCATGGTTGAACAACGAAAGACTTATGATTTAATTTGTGATCACAAGATTCTGGGCCTGGGGCTCTGCTGCATATGCTTTACCGTGGCCGTGACTTGACTGCAAGATGGTGTTGGGAGTGGGAGTGACCGTGCGTTGATGACCGTTGATGCATTGCTTGTCTTGCTAGTGGCTTGTCTTGAATCGTGAAGTGTTGCGAAGCCTCAGGGCTTGCTTGGCATGTTTGAATTATCGCTTGTGGCGTTTGCGGTAGGCTTGGCTTAGGCTTGGCTTGTCGTTGGCACGTTGATCATGTTCATGTGCATCGATGCAGAATGCAGAATGGCATGTGCGATTTGGAAAGGCTGCTGACTCAATATGTGATTGCCATGTTATGCTGGCATTGGGACTCCGCTTTACCGTTGCTTGGCTGCAAAAGTGCAGTGCGAGGGCCGGCGCTTTGACAATTGATTTCGTTGTTTGCTTGGCGGGAGCGGGAGCCTGGTTGAAGTTTGTCGTTGACCATCATTTCACGCATGCAAGCTGTCATAGGCATTGCATGCAGATGCTTGCAGCAAAAAGTACGATTATAAGGCTGCCCACGTGGCAGTGACAGTCTGGTACCATGGCACGGCCATTGCAACTGGGAGCCGGTGTCGGCCCCTCTGATATATCAGTGGTCGACATCCAGAATGCACTGGAAACACTCACGCAAGCAGCTGTTGAGACATGCGCTTCCAACGAGGCGATCAGTGATCAATAATGATAAATGCAGTACTGCAGTGTGCAGGGCACGTCAATGTGATTAAATGTACATCTGGCCACTGCATGAGAGGTGATTAGTGCGATTCGGGGACACTTGGGACAAGTTGCCAACCTGCTTCAAGCTCAGCAAGATCGCCACCGTGCCCAGCGAAATGAACGCCAATTCAAGTTCAGTAGCTTGATGGAGGCGCTACTGGTTTCGCGGCTGATCAAGAACAGCAAAGAGCTGCCACAGGTGCTTCTGAGGTGTGTGCACTATGTGTTTGGTGCCGACCTTTCAGATCATGTGGCACGGCAGCTGGCGGACAAGACCATGCGGGTCCCATCCGAGTCGACGCTCAGCCGGGCTCGATTGAAGCTTGACGTGCTCTCGATGATGGCTCGGCAAGAGCGTTTCAGAAGCTCGGATCTGGAGTTCTTCGTGATGCTGTCCACGGATTCTTCGCCGCAAGGAGGCCTAGACTACCTCATGACCCTTGAGGATCGTGTGTCTAGAGCTGCAGCGGGGAATCTAGTGCTGGCCGGTGGCGATGGCCTCAAATGGGCTGCAGACAACGTCATCGAGACGACGCAGCTTCCATTGGCTTTGGTGGGGTCTGGCAACGCTGATCTGTCAGCCAAGTTCGAGGCCGTGTTCCACCAGGCTGGTCATCCTTCGTAGCAATGACTGATGTCGAGTCCAGTGGAGACTTTGTTTATTGGGTTGCTTTTCTCGCAACCCCTTGGCCCTTGGACCGTTGGACCCTTGACTTGACGTGACCCCTTGACTCTTGACAGTCTTGACCGCCCTTGAACCTTGAACTGATTGAACTTTGAATGAACTGAACTGTCATTGCCATGCCATGCCGTGCCGTGCAAACCGTTACCCTTGAATCTTGAAGATGGCCCTTGCCCGCATTGCCCGCCTTTGCCATGTCATTGCATTGCCTTGGGGCTTGTGCGTTTGCATTGTGAGTGTGTGTGATTCTGTGCAACCCGTAACGTGTGATCACGGTCAGCGCCCGACACCCGAAGGTCAAATTGGACATTGGCACTGATCCGGCTGCACTCCAAAGATACTCCATGGAATCTTGCATTTCCTTTTGCTCAGACTATGGCACCGAGTCGCAGTTCACCGAGGTTGCTTAGCAGCACGCCTCAAGTTCTATTAAATCTCAATGTAAGTAAATCAATAAATGTCTATCTCAGTCTCTGTATTTCTTTGTCTCCCTCTGTGTACTTGCACGTTTGCGCTTGGTGACTTGGTGTGCTGCGATCGCAGGCGTGCAGCGGTTTGCGTTCAACGCTACTCTCTTTGTGCGCTCATTGTTTTGTCACGCGCTAGCTGCGAGCTTCCTTGTGCCGCACATGCCAATAGCAAAATGTTTGCATTGCACATCCAATGTTGAAGGTTCCTGCTGTCGAGATATCCTCGCTGATGAGGACAGCAATATCTCATTCGGATGGCCTTCTGCAAGATGCTGCCGGAAAGCGTAGGCGGCTTCGGATGGAGACATAGCCAGCATCCAGCATTCCCTGTGTGATTTGAATGTTCATGGTTTTTGGTTTAGAGATTGAACGAGATTGCGTCGACTGCGGCAGTGGCAACCACGATTGGAACTTGGAACTGAACATTGTATAGCGTGGCATCATAGCGTGTGCGTGTCAGGTTGAGGGCTGCGACGGCGACGACCTCGAAAGCCAATTTGCTCGGCCTCCAGCAGCAGGCGGCGTCATTGACTTGGAGTCCGATTCTGAGCAGGTGCCCGGCGTTCCTGTCCCCGAAGCTGCCGAGCGTGCGTTGCAAGATACATCAGCCGGCCCTTTCCGCTGGCACATGGGTGGAAGTTTGATGG